TGGCGGAGCCGGCGCCCCGGGGTTCCTGTGCCGCCACACACTCGGGGCCTGGCGCTGAAAAGTCCCTTTCCTGGCTGGGAGGTGTCGACCCGCGGGAGGGGGTGGGGAGTTCCCTTTCGGGACCCGTTGGGGTACGCCGTTGAAAGGCAGGTGCTTCCTTCGCCGTGGCCTGTGAGCCTTACTCGCGGTGGCAGGTGAGTAGCCTTACTATATTCTTCAGCACGTTTAAACACAGAGCATAAGTGTTCGCGTGAAACTTTAGATCAGACCCGGCTTTACGAAGCCCCCTTTCTAAAGTCCTTACGCTGGGGGGATTACAAAGGAGGAGGGGTATTTACCCTCGATGGGAATTCTGATTTTAATATCTCAGAGGGTCGCCAGCCCGAGCTGAAGCTGCGGGAAATGGCACCTCTCTGTTGGAGAGCGTTACCATTATAATCAGCTCAAAACCCCAAGTCAAGCTGGTTCAGCTTTTACTCCACCCAGTAGGGGGGCACCACCTGAGCTGTGTAACTGCACCTGCCTTGCTTTCGCCCAAGAAGATTGCTCAACGGTGTGCCCGGAGTCATTCCCAACCCGTTGCCTTCCAACTCACCTAAGGAAAGTCGCACAACCTGTCCGGAGCCACGGAGGCGCGCAAATACACACGTGTTCCTCATCACCTGCTGAATCATCTCTCAGCTGTCCATGGTAACCGGGGTGTAATAGAAAATGCACAGTCGTGTCATCGTCGTCGTCGTCCCCCACCCCCCACCCCCCAGCCAAATGGCACCCAGGGCACCCTTCCTATCTGCCAGGCCTTAGCCAAGGGCAGCTATCATCAGTCAATGCCAAGTGAAAAAGAGTTTTGGTTTGGGGTGTGGGGAATGAGACTTGATTTGGAATTCTAGGTCTGCCACTTACAAACTGGGGCCTTGCCTGATGAGGACAGGCCCTCAGAGTGCTCTGTCCAGGTTGTTAGGTTCTCTCCAGTCCGTTTCAGACCATAGCCACTATGTGCAAGAGAGCAAACCCTGCCCACGTCTGTGTCGTCCTCCCAGTTATTGCTGCAGTCACATCTCTTGGGGGGACTTCCTCTTTTTCATTGATCTACTTAACCAAGCTTGATAGCCTCCTCCAACTGCTGGTCCCTTCTGATAGCTTGCCCAAAGTGCTTGAAATCAAGTCTGGCCATTCCCCCCCCCCCCGCTAAGGAACATTCTAGTTGTACGCCTTCCAAGACGGTTACTTGTTTTACTGGCAGTCCGGGATATGGTGCATCTTGGTTGCCAGCACCGTAATACAAATGTATCCATTACTTCTTGATCATCCCTATTCACTGTCTGAGGAGCCCTGGTGGTACAGTGGTTACATATTGGGCTGCAATCCGCATGGTCGGCAGTTCAAAACCACCAGCAGCTCTGAGGGAGAGACCAGGGTGACTCAGGGCCCCACTCTCAAGGGTTCCACCAGTCCCTATCTGCCCAGTGAGACTGGTCTCTCCTAGGATTCTGATTTTTGTTTTACATGTTTCTCCCACTCTATCCAAAACCTTCTAATACAGTGGTTCTCAACCTTCCTAATGCCATGACCTTTTAATATAGTGTCTCATGTTGGGTCACCCTCAACTGTAAAATTATTTTCTTTGCGACTTCATAACTGTAATTTTGCTACTGTTATGAATCGTCACATAAAAATCTGATATTCAGGATGTAGTCTCATTGTTACAAATCGAGCATAATTGAAGCATAGTGATTAATCACAAAAACAGTATGTGATTATATATTGTGAAATATTTATTTCTAATTATAAATAAGGGAAATTTTGTCTTGAAGCATGGTGTAGCATGGGTAACAGTCTTCATGCCGGGTACTCATATGTGGGCGTATCTGCATATGGGCGCACCCACCTGGAGACGGATAGGGGAGTGGTGTCTCAGTTCCTAAGACAATCGGCGACCCCTGTGAAAGGGTCGTTCGACTTCCAAGGGGTTGCAACCCACAGGTTGAGAACTGAATCGATCTACTGTATCGATCCATCTCCTTGAGGGTCTTCCTCTTTTTCACTGCCCCTCTGTTGTATGGAGCATAATGTCCTTTTCCAGGGAAAGAATAGGCTGCCCACATCGGAGGAAGTAGTCCCAGAAACGTATGCGTAGCATCAAAACATTGTCAGATACTGAAGGGAGTCGTAGCAGGCCACCCAAATCTTCCCACAGCTGCTTGGCTGCTCACAGCAATCCCACCATGGAGTTGCTTACATTATGTTAGATCACGTCACCGAGGAGGTCTTAACAACCAAGCTATTGAGAATCCGGGCCCAGCCAGGTTGACGCAAAACTTATCTATTACAATATCCAATAGAGGTCTGGTGTTTTCCCATCATGATTATTTCAATATCTTCTTTTGGAACACTACATTTTTTTTCTTTAAAAAACTTCTGTTTATATCATCATATATCTATCTACCTACCTATCTATCATTTGTCTCCCCTTCACCACCCCCAACCACACACCCTCGTTTTTTTTCAGGCGCATTAAATACATTGGCCTTTACTGACTTCATCTATTCCTGAGAGTTGGAATCAGTTTTAACTGCCTGAAAGGGCATTGCTGCCATCTAGTGTTGAATAAAGCACAAGTGGAAAAACAGGTCAACTAGCATCACACCGTGTTCAGAGGAAACAGTGATGAAAATGGAAGACATATGGAAAATGTCTTATGGATCACCTAGCATCAGTCTCCAAAACCTGAGACCAGAAGAACTAGATGGTTCCCAGCTACCACGGCCAACTGCTCTGAAAGGGGTCACATTAGAAGATTCGGGACAGAGCGGGGAGAATGTGGAAGAAGACCAAAAAATCCCAAAAACCTGTTAAACAAAAAAACAAGCTTACTGGTAGAGACTAGGGAAACCCCCACAACTATGACCCTTAGTCACCCTGAAATCTGAAGATAAAGTCACTCCCAGCACTCAATTTCCCACCACGCTATAGACGTGACCATAAGGGAACAATAACAGTGAAGTACGTGCACCTTGGGATAATCCACTATTTTAAATTAACTAGGGAGTATTTGCCCAAAGACAAAGTTCAGAAGGACAGAAAAAGAAGCGGAATGGAAACAGTAAATCCAGGGAGGAAGCAGAATAAATGATGTGACATTGAGCTGCCATCCATGAGATGAAACAAAATGTGTGTGACTTATTGAATAGAAAACTGCTCTATAAGAAGACCCAAAGCAAACACTCATATTGATGCTAACAAGGAGGAGGGGAGTGGAGACCCAAAGCCCATCTGTAGACAATTGCACATCACAGTATAGCACCAACGAAACACACAACATTCCTTTAGTTCTTGAATGCTTCTTCACACACACCCCCCACCATCATGACCCCAATTCTACCTCACAAATCCGGCTAGACCAGAGCATGCACACTGGTACAGATAAGAATTCTGGACACACAGAATCCAGGACAGATAGACCCCTCAGGGACAAGAATAGGAGTTGTGATATCATGAGGGGAGGGGGAAAGGAGGGGGAGAAAGGAGGAACCAATTGCAGTGATCAATGTATAACCCCCTCCCCCACAAGGGTAACAAACAACAGAAACATGGGTGAAGGGCGACATTGGGTTGTGTAATACATGAAAATAATAATAATTTATAATTTATCAAGGGTTCATGAGGGAGGGAGGGAGGGAAGGGGAGGGAGGGAAAAAATGAAAAGCTGATACTAAGGTCTCAAGTAGAAAAAAAATGTTTTAAAGGATGATGGCAACATATGTACAAATGTGCTCAACACAATGCATGTATGGATTGTTATAAGAGCTGTAAGAACACCCAATAACCCCAATCCCAACTACGTGGACAGTTGCCCCTCCCCTCAGAAGAATTCATTTCAGACGACAGCACTGAGGCTGCAGCTCAGGGAGAGGGACCTGTCTGATCAGAGCACACCAGAGCAAATGAAGGGGGAGGAAGAGAGAGTAGAGCACATACTGGCCCACCAAGCCTTGACGAT